AGAGGCAGCCTTGTGGCCTGAAAGGAGGTGAAGCACATGCCTGCAGGCCTTGAACCCGGTAGGGCCTTGAATGTGGTGCCTTTCTGGGGCCTGAGTTCACCAATGGCGCTCGTCTGACTGCCTGTCTGTCTGGTTGGCTGTCTGCTTGTTGGTCCCATGGCGGTCTTCTCCATCTCTGTTTCTTAGACCCACACCCGCTAGCTGCCCTGCTTCACCCTGGTCCCTGTGCTTGGCACCTGCTCACCTCCTCTCTGGCCTCCCTGAAGCTGGACCGCGGTCAGGGTGGTGACGCCCAGCTCCCTCTGGATGAGGGGATCCATGGTTCTGCCTTCTCCCACCCCTTCCGGCCTCGTGTTCTGGAGGGTTCCTTCCACCGGACCTCTGTCTTCATAAGTCTGCTCCTTACCCGGCTCCGCTCATCAGCCGCCTTCCTACTTGGACACCTGCTACCTGCGGCGGCCCCGCCGCCTTCCCTCTTCTCCCCCAGCTCCTCCCATCTGCCCCACTGGCAAGCCCAGCCGCCTCCAGCAAGTCCCCGCCTCTTCTGCTGCCTGGCGGAGCCCACACCTCAGTTCTCCAGGCCGCCTCCTTCCTCTCCTCACTCTTGTCTGGACACCTCCCTGCTGGCCTTCTCTCCCTCCCTCAGTCTCTGTCCTGTCTCTCCCAGAGTCTCTCCCCAGCAGTCCCTCCCCACTCTGACACACCAGCCGGTAAGGCAGCCAAGGCTTCCTGCTGTCAGCTGGGGAATAGATAAAGATAAATGATATTATGTTAAATTCCACTTAATGACAAATTTTTAATTTTCTGAACATGGTCATTTTCTGGCTAGTGAATCAAGTGGAGGGAGCTAATTACATGAAGATCTGAACAAAAATAACTCCTAATTTTCAAGGATAATGGAAGAGAAATGTTGGAGATTAATGGCACTATTTATCTTTTTTAAATTTCTATCTTTCTCTGTGATAGCCGTGCTCCCCAAGGAAAATATTCATAAAATGAAATTGAAGTCGTAACTTAATAGGTTATTAAAATTTTTGAGTGCATATCACTTTCCTTGCGCAGCACTGTAAATTTAAATTGAAGTTTGCGGCTCCCCGAGTCACCAGCGGAGTTTTTTTTATGATGGCACAATAGAGAGAAACATGCATCTTTGTCAGGAGGTATTTGCTAGTCTAATTTTATGGCAGGCCGGATTATCAGACGGGAATGGCAGCGCCGGGGGAAGCTGACAAGCCCGCAGCCGGCAGCCATGTGTTTCCATTAGCGCCTGGAGCCGTCCGGGGCTTCTCGGACTCTCATTTTCCACTTCAGTCTTTTATCTTGATTTAAAGTGAGGGCGCCCAATATTCAGGGCCTGTCATTTTTCTCTCTCTCACTCTTGCGCTCTTCCTTTCTCCCCTCCCACTTCCTCTGCTCGGGCCTCTCCTTTCATCTCTGTGTCTCTAGCATGGGCACTGCCCTCCCTGCTCCCATCTCTCCTCATCTCCTGGCATCCTCCCTCCACCCCAGCCCTGTGGGCTCTGCCCTCAGAGGAAGGGGAGAGGAGGCAGGGGCTGGCCGGCTGCCTCTGGAGTAAGTTATAAATTTGAGTGAAGCCTTCTCCCGATGGGCTCATCAGACCAACTTTTGAGTGGGGCCTGCCTGTGTATGTGGTGCACGGGTCCGCCAGGCTCTGGCCCATCAGGCCTCCTAATTGAGTGTTAATAGAGTTGCGAGGGGGAAGGGTCCCAGCTGTTGGCTCTGGGGACAAGACAGGGAGAATGATCACCATCTCTCTCAGGGCCCCTGTCTCTGCTCCTGGCTTTGTCTCTGAGACTCAGAATCACAGAACCCAGAGGAAGGCTCAACTTGAGCCCAGCCGACGCTGTCACAACTCAGGTGAACACACTGGAGTCCAGAGATGGAGAGCCTTGTCCCAGGTCTGGAAGCTCATTAGTGGCAGGGAGAGAAGAAGCTGGACCACCAAGACATTTAGATGAATGCATTTTCATTTAACTAACTGCTTCCCTCAGCGTTTCTGCTCTTGGAAGGGAGCCAACACCTTGATGTCCACCTCAGCCCCTATGCAGCTGTATTCCCACTGTGTAGGAGTTGTGGGCAAGTGGGCACGTGCGTCCTTCCAGACCCTCGTCTTGACCTTGACACCCTGAGCAAGGTCTTCTCTTGCAGTCTGCCCTCAGCCCACGTGAGTTACCAAGTCCTTCCCTCTTACACCTCGTGCCTGTCTTCAGGCTCACCATGCCTGTCTTCAGGCTCACCATGCCTGTCTTCAGGCTCACCATGCCTGTCTTCAGGCTCACCATGCCTGCCCCGTGTTTCCATGTTGTCCCCTTGCTCCTCCCATCTGGTGACCTTACCCAAATATCCTAGATCCCCAAATGCCTTTCTGGAGCGCTTCAACACTCTGAAACATTGAGTTCCATAATCTTGAATTCAAACCTCACACCCTGCATGACCACGGCTGTGTCTTCCCCCCCAACCCCCTTTGCCCGCCACAGGTCCAGGGGGGGTCAGCTCCAGTCCCTTGGTGCCTCTTCATCCCCTTTTCTTGGTATCCACACTAGAAATGACATCAGTCTTTCATGTGTCACCTCAAGCCACCCTCTTGATAGACTCCACAGAGTCCTATTGGTGTCCCTCTCCTCTGGCCCCATTAGCCTTCACGCTTCAGGACAGACACCTCAGCGTTTGTCACCTACAAGTGCAGTGACATCTCAGGCAGCAGGTGAGTGGGTGACCAAGGACCCACTACCCAGTTCACACGCTTGATTCAATTGGCCACAGGTGTCCGCCTGGCTATGTGTCCTATCTACATGTCCCCTGCACACCAGTGGAGTCCCCTGGATAAGGAGGCCTCCTAGATAGACCTTCAGTGTTGAGACTTTAACTCACTCAGTTTATCGATGGAGAAACTAAAGCTCAGCAGAGGGAATGCAGAATTGAGTTGGGAAGCTGGCTGAGGAAGTCATATTTCAGCACCCTTGTATCCCCAGAGTTCAGGCTGTCTTATTATGTTGGGAAGTTAGCAATAGAACTTTCAAGTGCAGAGCACCATGATGCCTTTTCCAGAGTGGTATCAGGGGTGACTGGGGAACCCTGTAGCCATAGGAGGGCCTTCTATGGCGGCATTCACCCCCTTCCTCCCCTTCCCCTACATCATGTTCTGTTCAGCTCCTGCAGCAGTCAGACTCCTGCCCATAGACTCCCCGGCCTGGCTATTTCCAAGGATGTCTTGGTTCCTTTCCCTCTTTCTGACTCCTGCCATGGTTGCAGGAGTGTTGCAGGCATGTCACACGCATGTTGCAGGCATGTTATAGACACGGTCATTTCCACTTGGCTGCCTAAGCCACACAGGTCAGGTGGTGAGCGGCCTGGGCTGCCCCCACGCCGTGTTTAGCAGGAGAGCTGAGCGGAGGCGGTGCCTGGTTCCCCAGCTACAGTCTCTCGTTAGAAAGAAATTAAAAGCCACTCAATTTTGGCTAATATCCCTCTGAAGGCCTTTAACTCCACCTGTGACTAACCCATTCATAATCGCTCCGTTTTAGTGGCTCAGGCTGATGTAGCCTCAATTAATTTGGGAGGAGAGATAAACGGCCGTTCCTCTTTGTCTCCCATCCATCCCTCCCTTCCTGCTCTCCCTGCTGTCTCCCCCACAGCCTTTCTGTGACTGCTTCTGAGCCCAGTTCTTCCGTTAGTCTCACCTTTTTCTCACGTCTTGACTGTTGGCTTAGACGTCTGCCTCTCAACTCTCTTTGTGTCTCAAGCCTTAGGTTCTGATTTTTTCTGTGGAGTCCATCTCTGGTGTCCGTCTCCCCCCCTTCCTCTCTCTCTCTCTCTGTCTCTCTCTGTCTCTGTCTCTCTCTGTCTCTGTCTCTCTCTGTCTCTGTCTCTCTCTTTGTCTCTGTCTCTGTCTCTGTCTGTCTCTGTCTCTGTCTCTCTCTGTCTCTGTCTCTCTCTGTCAGTTTTCTGTTTGGCCTCTGCCCTTGTTTGTCTTTTTCTCTGCGCCTGTTTCCTTTGGCTCCTGACTTTGGCCGCTTTGACCCCCCCCCCCTTGGGGCACTGGTGTACCCGAGTGCCCTGCCCCCCTCCGGTGCTGCCTCTCTGGCCTCATCTCTCCCCATCACCTCTGTCCCATCCCGCTCTTTGTCCCAGCCCCTCCTGACCGGCTTCCTTCTGCTCCCCAGCCCCTTCCGCTTCACCCCCTCTGTGCAGCCCCTCTTCTCCCTGTCCCCTGCGCTCCCTCTTTTCTTTATTCTGGTTCATCTTTTATTCTTGGTGTCTCTGCTTCTGCTCTGTGTCCCCGAGTTTTTCCCCCATCTCTTCCCCTTCCTGCCCCAGAGACGACGACTCCCCGCCCCCTCTACAGATGAGCGCTCTTTTCTTTTGGTGCCCCAGAGCCCCTGGCCCATGAGTCCCTTTGTCTCCCCCCACCTCTCGATGATTATTAATGATAAAAGCTCAAACATCACACCAATAATTTCTGAGTGAGTTTTGCAATGAAACTGGGGCCTTCTCAGCCCCTCCCGAGTCCCACAAATTTTACTTTTGTAATTTCACGCCTTTGGTTATCGCCACGCTGCTCCGTCCCTCTCTGCCTCTCAGCTCCCCTCCCTCCCCCTCCCCCCCCGGAGAGAGCACTTAAACTTGTTTTCATTCCCTTATTCTTTATTTTTTTAATGTCCACTCTCTCCGGAGTCAGTAATGTTCTTCCTCTCTTTCCTCTCCCATTTTCTGTTAATTCTGCGCCATCTGCCTTAGCATCTGTTAAAAATAAAATTTCCCTCACACAATGAGAAGCCTCCCTGCTCCTCCCTTCCCCCCTGCAGCCCCCCAGGTTTGGTGCTGGGGCGTCAGATGCCACTTCCTCTCTTGGGATCCTCCCCCTCCCCCCAGTCCCTAGTCTGGTTTTCAAAGCAGAGACACAGTGCTGGGCTAGCAGGCAGCCCAGAGGGAGGGGTCTGCCCAGGAGGACCAAGCTGGAGGGGGCAGCTGCAGAAATGGGGGGTGGGGTGTCTGCAGAGGATGAACCAGGCGCCACCTTCCTGCCTTTTGGGACCCGACCATAGCTGGGGCTTTGAGCTGCTGACACAGACCACCTGCGCAGGTAGGTGACAACAGGTGGGGGCAGGAGCTTCCTAAGAAAGGAGTTGGTTACTCTGTCTGCCCTTTCTGGAGTGCTGAGGCCTGAGGCTGGTGGGTGGTATGAATGATTTTGGGAAGATGGAAGGAAGCTCCCAAGTCCCACTGGCTGGTCCCAGCTTGGACTGGCTATGATGGCAGAGAAGGTGTCCTCAAGCCTGGCTGTCTGGGATCCCCTGCACAAGTCTGCTGGAGGACTGTGCTCAGCTGCCCTGGGCTCAGCTGGAAGAAGGTGTGGGGTGGGGTGGGGTGGGGGTGGGGTCTATGACTCATAAGCCCTGAAGACTTTGGGAGGCAAGAAGCTCTTGGGTAAAAGCCAGCTTCCCAGAGGGTCTGAAGCTGTCTGTGTACATGTGAGTGTGTGCCCGTGAGATTAAGTTTCCCTCTGCCCACTTATCTGTGTGGGTGTGTCTAGGACATATGTGTAATGTAAGCTGGATTTTGACTGATTTTGTGTGTGTGTGTGTGTGTGTGTGTGTGTGTGATCTAGATCTGGTAACAGCTCTCAAGTGTGAGTGTTATATGTTACAATGAGCATGTTTGTGCCTGTAATGAGAGTGTGTGATCCTGTATATGTTGAAATGACAGGACCTCTGTGTTTCTGCTGGTTGGTGTATCTGCATATATGTGACTCCCCTCTGTGAGGCGGGTGTAGCTTTCTCAGTATGATGAGTCGCTTTGCTGTGACCAATGGCAGACTGGCACAGACTGGGGTTTGCACGACTTCTAAGCAAAGTGACACTCTCCAGCGCCTCTTTCCATAGGAGGGTGGTCCTGTGTGTTTGTCTCCTGGGACGTAAGTGTGTGAGCACTGTAGACTTTCTTTGGCTCAGTGCTACACAGGTGTGTGGGTGCCTGAGGTGTGGTTGGACCAGATGTGAGGGGAGAAAAGTGTGAGTGTTGGTGGGTCCAGTGTCACCTACTGAGATTAGGTCCTGTGGGAATCCAAGCAGCGCTGAATTGGGGTGGCGAAAAGACATAGGATTCAATACCAAACAGTCCTGAGGGCAATTCCTCCATCTGCCCCCGACCATGTCAGTCACTGCAAGTATCTTATATTTTTGGTTGTGAACCTAGCCTTTAATGGCTGAGCTATCCCTCCAGCCCCACTGCAAGTATCTTAAACATTAAGTTTCCACTTTTGTCAAATGGGGATAATCATATCCACATAGGTCGGAATAAGGATTAAGCACCAAACGCTCAGTTTACCTGGTACCTAATACAAAGATAGTCAAGTGCTGGCTGTTACATACCCATGTCCTTCCCTCCTCACTCAACTCCTAAAGGATCCTTACTGTTTTACAGATAGGAAACTGAGGCACAGAGTATAAATAACAGCCTAGGCAGCCAAGTGTCTATTCAGCAAATGCTAGCTTAACTGGTAAGTAAATCTTTCCAAATTATTAATATTATTTGTGTGTGTGTGTGTGTGTGTGTGTGTGTGTGTGTGTGTACACGAGTGTTCTGCCTTATGAGGTCTCTTTCCTAGATGATCAACACCCTCCCCCGAAGCCAGCACCCCCGCAGAGTGCTTGTCTTGGGGACTAGACAATAGAGAGGGGAATGAGGAGCCAGCTACTCTAAGGCCAGCTACTGCCAGCCAGCCTTGATCGACACCAAAGACGCCTAATCTCTCTCTGGCCCGAGGGGAGCAGCAGCGATTGTGAAACAGATTTTTACAAAATGTTTTGACCCTGCTCTCCCCTCCCCCCTGTATCCCTGCCTGGCACCGTGTCACCTAATTAAATCAGCCTTCGTAGGCGACTCAGCTTCCTGCTAATTGTGCTCTGGGCCTGCTTCCGGAGGCGGCTCTCCCCCACCCCCTAGCCACCACCCGGACTCCGGAGGGCAGCACGCATGTGTGTGGGAGGTATGTCTGCGGGGCGCGGAGGTCCTCAGAGAAGAACCGCGTGGCAACACCCGAGTTCCTGAGGGAGCTGCAATCGGGGATACTGAGGCACCGGGTTTGGTCCTCTGCTTGACCGGGCTTGTTGCCCAGGGACCCGTTTGGGTCCAGGTCTGAAATGACCCGGGATCTCGGGGAGACCAGCCCGAGCGTATGAGTAATTGTCTCCGCCAGAACGGCAGCCGGGGAACGCGATTCGGAAATTCCCAGGTTTCTTTCCCCTTCACCAGCTGCACCGCCGCCCAAAGCCGCCGGTTTCTGGTTCTTTCCCTGTCTTGGAGGTCGGAGGGAGGGCGGTGCCTCTGTCCAGGGTGCTGAACGCGCTCCGGCCCAGTGGCGCCTCCAAATTCTCTCCATAATAGCAATAACTAAAAACATCACAGGCGACTTTGACCGACCGATTTCGTGAGTCATGCTCTGACCTAAGCGCTTCCAAGCTCTGTTTAATTTAACTCCCTCAGCAACCCCAGGAAAGGAGATCTCCCCATTTTAAAGATGAGAAAATAGAGACAGAATGGCTAAAGAGCTCCAGGTGGGGAGGGTAAATAGGCCGCTTTCTTTTACAATTTATTTAATTATTTTTAATTGTGTGTGTGTGTTTGCACGAGTGTGTGCATGCGGACACTAGAATCCTCTAGAACAGGAGTTACAGACTGTTGTGAGCCACCTGATTCTGAGATTCAAAATCATCCCAACAACTCCTCTTCTTTTTTCTTATAACTTAAAAAACACACTATTTGTGAATTAAGAAAAGGTTGTGGGGAAAAAAGATCTCTTGTTTTCTTTTCTTTTTTTTGAGACAGGTTTTCTCTCTGTAGCCCTGGCTGTCCTGAAACTTGCTTTGTAAACCAGGGCAGCCTCAAACTCACAGAGATCCGCCTTCCTCTGTTTCCCAAGTGCTGGGATTAAAGGTTTGCCCCACTACTGCCTGTTTGTTTGTTTTTTTAGTGTTAGAAACATCCTTCTGGTCACATGACCCATATTCTTCAAAAGGAAAAGAGATTCGCATAAAGTTTAAAAGAAAGATAGAAAACATTACTGGATGGACTTTATTTGGTTTCTTACTCTAACCAGCCAACGTCTATATATGGTGTATATTAAATATATACGTATTTGGGAAATAAGTAAAATTTAAATATGGGCTGTGTATTTAATAAAATTAAGGAGTTATGGTTAATTTTGGTATGTGTGAGTGTAATTTTGACTTCAGAGATTTTCAGAAATCTTTGTCTTTTTTTTTTCCTTAAAGAAGATGCCGGAGATGTGGCCGGAGCAATTGCCTGGATGCAGGAATTCCTTCACTTGGTCCTCAGTACCTTATAAACTGGGCCTATAATCCCAGCACTCAGTAGTTGGAAGTAGGAAGATCAGAGGTCAGCATCATCCTCATCTTTGACACATGATGGAAACCCAAGGATAACCTGGGCTACATGAGCCCTATCAGGGGAAAATGTTGTCAGGGGCTGGGCCACACAAGCTTGAAGACACAAGTTTGGATCCCTAACCACCCACATTCAAACAGATCTTGGTGGCAGGTCTGAAACCCCAGCACTCAGGAATTAGAGGTAGGAGGACTCTTGGAGCTTGCTGGTCCAACCAGACAGACATTCTAGCCAACCAGTGAGGACCAGGTTCAGCAAAAGACATTGTTCAAAAATTAAGATGAAAAAGCGATTGATTAAGACACCCACTGTCACTCTCTGGGCTCCACACAGGTTCACGCCCTCCTCCCCCAATACATGTACCCCCCATGTGTATACACACGGATAATACATAAACATACGTAAAACCACAGAAGGAGCTGTTCGGTGACTTGCTCCAAGTTTCTTAAGAGCCCCTCTCTCAACAGCCCCGGCAGCCTGCCACTGGCAGATGCCCACACATCTACAGTGTGGCCTCTCTGTAGGTCAGTGTGACTAGCTGCAGAGGTTGGCATTGTAACTCTGTGAGAACACAAGCATCAAGTATTAAGTAGCTAAAATATGCCAGTGTTTCCATAATGTGTATCACAGCACTTTAAACTCACAGCGACCCTGAGAGAGAGGAATTACTATTCTGGTATTGCAAATGCAGGAACTGAGGCAGAGAAAGTAATTTGCCTGTGGCCTTACAGTTAGTAAGGATGGAACTGGAGCCCAGGTATTTTGGCTCTACTCCCTAATGTTCTTGCTAATTGACTAAACCACAGTGGCCTTATTAGTGTGTGTGAGGCTTGTGCCTGAGTGTGACTTCATTTGTTGGGTGGAAGAGAGGAACCATGCATGTGGTCACAGCAGGGGCCACTGCCTCTGGTGCAGCCTGAGATGTGAGGAGATACAGAGAAACAAGCGGGGAAGGCTGATCTGAAATGAACCTGTCAATGGAAAGGACAAGGTCCACTACACCTTTACTTGCTTTGAAGGATTTACCTGGTTATGAAATGTAGCTAAATTTGATTTTGAAATTAAAAATGTCCTCTCTGTAATAATAAAAGAGATCATTCATCAAGCACTTCTGTCTCCTTGCCTGTAAGAAGCTATAGAAACTATGCAATGGAGCTGGGTGGTGGTGGCACACGCCTTTGATCCCAGCACTCGGGAGGCAGAGAGCAGGCGGATCTCAGTGAGTTTGGGGCCAGCCTGGTCTACAGAGCGAGTTCAGGGACAGCCAGGACTGTTACACAGAGGAACCCTGCCTTGAAAAATCAAAAAGTAAGACAGAAAGAAGCTGTGCAATGCACGATGTCTGGGACAGGGTAAGGGTTCATTAGCGACCTTGGTTATTGTGGAAGAGCCTGGGTTAAGAATAGGACACAGTCTTTCTCTCAAGAGTCACCAGCTGAACAACCTTGGGCCAGAGACTTACCTTACCTGGGCCTCACGTCTCTTTTCTGCGACAGGGAGCTAAGCATGCTTTAAAATACTGTAAGAGTGCTAGGTATAGTGGCACATGCCCACTCCCAGGACTTAGGTGGCAGAGGCAAGAGGATCTCTGTAAGTCTGAGGCCAGCGAGGTCTACATAGTGAGCTCCAGAACAGCCAGAGCTGTATAGTGAGACAATAAAAACAAACAAACAAAAATACTGGAAAAATTTAAATGAGATTATAGAGAAAGTGCCTGGCAGAGTGCCTAGGGTATAGTGGGTGTGTCCAGTAAATTATTCCATTCCAGTTGCTCTGGATATATGCCCCCTGGACCCTGCTGCCAACTAAGTGATTTGATGTTTCTTTTGTTTGTCTTTCGAGACAGGGTTTCTCTGTGTAACAACCCTGGCTGTCCTGGAACTTACTTTGTAGACCAGGCTGGCCTGGAACTCACAGAGATCGTCCTGTCTCTGCCTCCCTAGTACTGGGATTAAAGGTTTGTGTCCCGCTGCCTGACTTTTCCTCACTCCCTTCCCCTCTTCCTCCCTCCCTTCCTTCCTCCCTTCCTCCCTTCCTTCCTTCCTTCCTTCCTTCCTTCCTTCCTTCCTTCCTTCCTTCCAAGACTCTCTGTGTATGTGTGTGTGTGAATGTATGCCATGTGTACGTAGGTTCTATGACCAGAAGAGGGGTGTTGATCTCTAGAGCTGGAGTTACAGGTGTCTGGAAGGCACCCGATGTGGGTGCCGGGAACTGAACTCTGGTCCTTTAACCCCTGAGCAGCCTCTGTAGCTCTATGAGTTGATATTCTAACCTTGGCTTTTTTGTGTTCCAAAGTCACACCTGTTATCAGCTGCCTGAGTGCCTGACCCCATCCCGATGAACTACCTGCTACCTGCTTTGTCTAAGTCTTTCTGAAAATCAATACAGGGCATTGGCATAGGGACTGACAGGCAGAATGGTAGGAAAAGGCCTTGCCAGAGAAGGAAGGAAGCAACTGGGAGTAATGAGACTGAACTCCCAATGTACAACTACCCTTAGCTTTTGGACAGTTGTGTGACTTTATGTTTCTTCTGTCAAGAGTGCCGGTTATCATCCCTTCACAGTGACGGGGTAGTTTGGCACCATAAGACTCTCTAGGTGACTGTGTGTGTTTATGAGATAGATGGAAGAAGAGAGGGTGTGACCACAACTGGATTCTTAGAGTCTGGCAGGTTATGAGAAGGCGTTTTGGATGCTAGAGTTGAAGGTACGGAGGCGTGACTGTATCAGTACAAAGGCAGTGACTCAGAGAGACTTGTGAGTACACATCCTTGGGTTGAATGAATGCATCTATGTGATGCTGCATAGTGAAAAGGAGGGGGTGGCTGTGTGCAAGCATCAAACTCTATACAAACTGTGTTCAAAGAGGTGTATGTAAGAACATGAAAATTGTAAAAACCAAACGATGTGAAACAGGCGAGGAGTGGCTGACAGGGGCGTGCGTGGATTGTAGGATTACACGTGATTGTATGTGGGAAGGTGGAACGTGTGAGGAACTGTGGGCTGATGGGGAGGATTCTGTGGGGAAGAGCTTGAGCCACAGATGAGCTCCTGCCCTCAGGAGCCCTCTAGAGGGACTGGTGGGCAGCTCTGAGATCTGGGTCGACCACGCATGCTCCTCAGCTGTGGTGGCAGGAGTGTCTTCTGAGGAAAGTCTGTGTCACCACAGGCAGATCCTGTTAAGTGGCGTTCCCTCCTGTCTGCCTAACGCTCTTGGCCAGGAGACCCCAAGATAGCGGCAAGACTGACAGTGGTGAACATCCTTGGAGTGGGGGGAAGGCCCCCCCGCACTGACCCAGAACGCACCCCTCCATGAAGTGGCAGGGGAAGATGTGGAGGCTGTGTGTCCTTTCCTGAGAACATTTATGCAGGATTTCAGCTGATTTTGTGTTGATGTAGAGAACACAGGCCTAAGCATGACACACTTGTGTCTCAGAGACACGTACACACATAGAAACTAGCCTGAAGAACTAGATTTCATTGCTGCCACTTGATCTCTTCTAAGTGAAGTGCAAAAGACAACCGTCTTTGCATGGGTTGATGGGGTTACACAGTGCTATGAAACACTTTGGAGACAGCTTGGTGATTTGTGGCCACGTGTAAAATGTATATTTTCTCTAAATATCATAATTTATTTTCTAAGAATTTATCCCAAGGAGATAATTGTATGAATGCAAAAATAACAGTCCACACGTACACTCGTCTTTCAGTATTTAACAGTGGAAAGCTGGAAGCAACCTAAATGTATTTGGCTAAGCAGGTGAAATGGTGATCTAGAATATGCTATTAAGATGCTCACAGAGCTCTGTACTTGTGGGAGAAGAGTGGTTTCCTGATGTGCTGCTGATTAAATGGTTGAATGGAACAGAACACAGAGCTTGACTCTCTTATATCTCACACTTGTGTTTATATTTATTTAAAGGCAGGGAGAAGCCAGGCGTGGTGCCTCTTACCTGCAGTCTCATTATACTTGGGAGGTGGAGACAGGAGGATCGTAACTTCAAGGCCTTTATGGGCTATGTGGTTGGGACACATGAGACTATCCCTAAACAAACAAACAAACAAACAAACAATATGCAGAAGGCATTACCTGGTAGTGTAATCATTCAAGTGACAGCAGTGATTAGGTGGTCTTTATTTCTGATGATAATTGATTTTTGTTATTGCTGTTTTCTCTTTTTCTTTCCTGTTTTCTGTTTTACAGTGAGTGAACGTGCATCTCCTCTAAAGATGGTGGGAAGAAAGATGCCTGGCATGGGGCAGCCACCACTTAGGGACTGTTTAGGACTGAGCCTCCACATGAAGGTGTTGGGAATGACAGTGCATTTAATAGAGACATTCCAAACCGAATACTTCTACAGGGGATGTTAAATGCCCCTCCCACCTTCCCCCAACCCAGTGCTCCTAGCCTGTCCATGTTTTATTTCCTCCCTTCCTCCCTTCCTTCCTTCCTTCTTTCTTTTCTTTTCTTTTCTTTTGTCACAGGAAGAAGATGTGAATTTCCTGAAGAGAACCTGGGCTTCAAACTAAGAAGAAGGAGACATCTAGCTAGTGCTAAGTCAGCGTTAGAGCCTCCACCCCTTGGTGGGACACACACACACACACACACACACACACACACATGCACAGGTACACACACACACCACCACCACCACCAACCTAGGACTCCTTCTGCCCTTGGTGCCCTGCCCCTTACAAGGGTTCCCAGCTCATGTCCAGCAGGAATAATGTTTTACTTTCCAACTAAAGCAATGATCCTGAACATATTTTCCTCTTGGGGTGAACTCCTTAGAGCCCTGGGGCCACGAGTGAGTCTAACAGCTAAGGATGGTGCTGCTCCCCATCAGGGTCCTTCTAAGGGAGCCTTGGCCTCTGCTCAGGGCTTCCTGGACACTGGAGGGTCAGCATCTCCTGGGTGGGACCTGACTCTAACAATTAGTTTTACAAGAAGGAGGGGGAGGAGGAAGAAGGAAAAGAGGAGAAAGAAGAGGAAGGGGGGGGAGAAGGAGGGAGGAAGGGAACAAAGGAAGGAAGACAAGAAAGTGCAAACCGGCCTCACGCTGGTTTTCCATTCCTGCAGAGGGGATGCGCTTCGAGGATGGCGGTTGCTATAGTCTGAACGTTCGTGTCTCCTTAAAATCCATTTGCCAGACGCCCCGCCTCTAAAGGTGATGGCACGAGAAGGTGAGGGCTTCAGTTGGTGATTAGGTCATGAAGACAGAGCCTTCCTGAGTTGGATCAGCACCCTGGCTCCAAGATCTGTGAGCCCTTCCTCTCACGAGAGGTGTCTATCTGTGAGGAAGTAGGGCCTCCCCAGACCTCCATCCAGTACCTTGACTTCAGGCTTCTCGGTCTTCAGAGCTGTGAAGAATAAATTTCTGTTGTGAATGAGTCACCTAGTCTATGGCATTCTGTTAGAGTAGCCCCAGCAGACTGCAGCAGTGGAGGAAGATACAGGAGTCAACGCCAGTAGCCCAAGAGCCAGAGCCCTCAGGTGGAGCACAATGCAAATGAGTGGTGAGGCTGATCCAGCTGCCACCAAAGGTGTGGCCCCAGGGGTTTCCACCAAAGGTGTGGCCCCAGGGGTTTCCACCAAAGGTGTGGCCCCAGGGGTTTCCACCAAAGGTGTGGCCCCAGGGGTTTCCACCAAAGGTGTGGCCCCAGAGGGTTTCCACCAAAGGTGTGGCCCCAGGGGTTTCCACCAAAGGTGTGGCCCCAGAGGGTTTCCACCAAAGGTGTGGCCCCAGGGGTTTCCACCAAAGGTGTGGCCCCAGGGGTTTCCACCAAAGGTGTGGCCCCAGGGGTTTCCACCGTGGGAGTAATCAAAATAAATCCTAGAAATGTTGGGAAGGCAGTCCGGTGGGATACCCAGTGAGGCAGTGATCCATACCAAAACCAAAAGAGTTCCTTATTTTTGTAAAGTACTGAGGGTTGTGCAAAGAGCCTGTATGGAGGAGGGTCAATTCATTTATCTGACCTACTCTATAAAAATGTCATAACTGTGGATCAAGTTCTGGTCTCCATCCTTTGAATATCTAATGGACACAATGTGTCCTGACTTCTGGTGCCCCTCAGTCTCCACTTACCTTCCTTAGGCACCACACTCCC